GGCAAAAATGTAATTAATTCAGAAAATCTTTTCAGGACCCCACCTTGATGTTTCGGGACCCCACTTTGGGTCCCGACCCCAACTTTGGGAAACACTGGATTAGACCATAGAGTTATATAAAACAACTAGAGTAAGCTCTGGTCATGTGACCTTGTGTTTTCACTGTAGCATCGGCTACATTAGCATAGAGGGTAGGCTAAATGTCTGTATGTAGAGATGGGATGAATGGCTCTTTAAAGGGATCAGGATCTACACAAGTGATTGTCTCTGTGGTAAAGGAGGATAAAAACAAACTACAAACGWCTATTTACTGTCCATAAATCGGTTCCTGACATTTGTTGTAAGGAGCCGATCAAACAATTCATAACGTTCGCCGTTATATATCTACAGTACTGTGTTTTGGAAAAACTGGCCAAATAGTCCAATTATTATTATTATTATTGTACRATCAGTGATTTCTACAGCCTAACCCTGACATTTACCCTAAAATTAACCTCACAGGACCCTAAAATTAGCCTAAACTCAATTCACACCTTGGTCCTAAACCCAACCCCTAACCCACAAATGGTATATCTGCCAACGGGTACCGGGCTTTTGTCCCCATTAGTAACAGTGGGTCCCCACCAGGCTGTGTACCAGGAAAATGGCCATAAATCTTACCCACCAGGTAGCAAAAACATGTACACACAAACACACACACACATGACACGGCTCCTCACCTGAACAGCTGGGCCCCACAGACCACACAGTTATAGGTTCCCTCATGTTTGTGGAACGTAAACTCTCCTGTAAAGGCACTGTGGGAAATGTTGTGTTAGTAAAATATTCTGCTGAAACTAAAACAATAATGGAACATGGTGCTTTCCTTGAAGAGATGAATATGTTTTCATATCATAACTATTTTATGATGAGAAACAAATTTTAGTCAAAGCAGGGAATAACCAGCCGGTTCGGATGTTATCAGTCCATTAAATGGACGTTATTAGCMGTTATCAGTCCCATAGAATGGCTTCAGACTGTTCCGACAGTGACCCTTATTGGGTTACCCGTGCCATTTACGTTGGAATGCAACAATCTGCTACTGCCAGAGTCCYGTCTACTTTATCGTAACCCATGTCATTTTCTCTTAAATTAATCTTAGTGGCTTTATGCCTCATATTAACCAGCTGACAGTCTGAAGCCATTCTATGGGATTGATAACGGCAAATAACATCCCTTTAATGGATGATAACATCCGAAGCGGGTGGAATAACGTTGTGTAATCTCAGGATGTGTCATGAAGGACTGAAATTTAAGCTCAAGACAAAAAAAGTGGCGAAAACTCTGGCTTTCAGTGAGAAGCAGACTGAATTTCCTAAARGAAGCATCTGTATTTACCACCAACCGGTAACAAATGTTTGATAAAAAACCAGAAAAGCATAGCTGAAAGTGGGAAAAGTTGGTCCGACCTCTCAGTTCCTCTCTCCTGGGTAACGTGGTACTGCTGAGGACTGAGGCGTTTCTTCAGCTCCTCCTGAGAGAAACTCACAGGCCACGACTTCTTAGTCCTGCGTGCTCCTGGGGAACACAACTAAAGAAAGTTACACACGTTCTGACACAAGGTGAAAGAAGCAGCTCGGTTATTTCTAACCAAACTCTGTTGTTCCACCTCACCCTGATGCAAAATCCAAAAGTCTAATCAGAAGCTTTACTCATGCTGCAACATTGCTAATCTGACCCATTTGGACAAGAGACAAGGACACCTGGTGTCTATGGAAAGCCAGCGCTGCCAAATCTACGTGACATGGACGCGTAAACAATGCGTCAAATGGACGCGTAATGTCACGTAGATTTGGCAGCGCTGGCTTTCCATGGCTGTCCTGCARGTGGTGCTGATCATTGGAAACAGATCCAGAAGGAAAGACCCCCCTTTCACACTGAATGATGGTCTTTCTATCCCCTCCATGACTTGTATCGTCTATCAGAACAGAACTAGACCACAGGTTCTTTTCAGTTCCAGATCCAGAGGGAAAATGAGCTCAGTGTGTTGTGTCATCTGTTGTCACGTTAGCATCACATTAAGTTATCAGGTATGCATAACAAAGCTAACCTCATCGATAATGTAAAACCCATCATAAAAGGTGCATCTCAGGTAACTCTGAATTGTTAATGACAATAAAATAATAATAAAGTTCCACAGACTTGAGTGTATTTGCGATTCGAAACGTCGGAGCTGCTGACGTCCTGTCACGTACCGACAAGTTTACCAAGACCCTGCAAAGACCACCCATGTTCTGACTGATTCTTTTAAAAATCACAGTAGAGTCATCACCCAGTGTGAGGGGGATCTAAAGGAAGTTGCAGGCTGGGGGCGGGGCWTATGTTTGATAGAAAGTATGCGTCAAATTAGCAATTCCATTCTAAACACAATGTTGCATCATAATAAAGCAATAAGGTTAGAAAGGTTTACAGCTTGCACACATATCTACACGCTTTAATAATAAATGTAGTCATTTTAATTCCAGTGATGTGCTGACAGAAAACAGCTGGAGTTTACAGATGTGCAGGAGTCCTGTTCAGTGACCACACAGTGACAAAGCCACTCGGTGCATGCAACAGTGCAGAAAAGCCAGGCATCAGGTGGGCTGTAGGTTAGCTGGACAGTGCAAACTGAACTGAAGCTGAATTCAAACAGTTGAACCTGCTGTCAAACATTTATTATTTACATGTTGAACCTGCACATTGTTCAGGAGTGATGTTACACACGGTTTACTAYAACCAAATTTGTTTCATAAAGATTTTAATGAAAATGAAATGAAAAAAGTCAAGTCAGAATTTTACACTGTGTACTGCGCATTTGATCATAACCCATTATTATGTAGGGAAGAATATAAATGATTTTCTGACGTTTCCTGCACAGTTATTAGTAAAATATTACCTAACAAAGTTTTGTTGTAGAACTGAGCGAAATAAACAACTTTACTGACCTGAGCTCTTCTGACCACACACACACCACAAAACAAGACCAACAGTTACTGGTGTATGTACAGGAGCTTTTTAGAATTCCAATAAATACCAAACATTTAAAGAACTGGCTGAGGACAAAATTTAAGACGGTAAACAAACAAGCAGCTTAGACAAATGTCTAAAATATGTTTCATCCAAATAAACTAAAACTTGTCAACAACCATGAGTTTCAGTGAGGTTTTAAAAGGGATCCCTGATTGGTTGTAACATTAAACTTTATTTGATAAACATTTATTTTAACTGTAAAATAAAGACTGTAAAAATACTGTAYGKTGTTTAGTTTTGTAAAWWTTTWWWAATCTATTTTAACACGGACGGAGCCATTTTATTTACACGCAAAGCATTCTGGGTAAATGACGACATCAACTAGGTCATCGGTGCGAGTCTGCTAGCGAGCTATATCCACCCTGAAGGTTAATCTTGGACAATATCTGATGATCGACTCTTTTAAATGAAAGAGAGCGTTGACAGAGAGGAGAAGGTAGAAATGACTCAGGCTGTAACTGAAAATATGGATGGAGGACCTCAGTGACAAGAGGAGAATGTGTAGKMCTGAGCTAATACATCTATACGGTGATAGCGTTGGGACTAAAGCTAAAGCTAACAGGCTAAGCTGAGGTTCTTCTTCCATGAAGCAGCTCTGTTGTCCTCCATCCATATTTTCAGTTACAGGCTGAGTCATTTCTACCTTCTCCTCTCTGTCAACGCTCTCTGGTTTCATTTAAAAGAGTCGATCATCAGATATTGTCCAAGATTAACCTTCAGGGTGGATACAGCTTGCTAGCAGCCTCGTGCCGATGACCTAGTTGATGTCATCATTTACCCAGAATGCTTTGTGTGTAAATAAAATGGCCCTGTCTGTGTAATATATTTTTAAACTTTTAGTTTAAAAATTATAAAAACTGAACATCCTACAGTATTTTTACAGTCTTTATTTTACAGTTAAGTCTAATGTTACAACTAATCGGGGATCCCTTTAWATGTGGTTTWGTTGGACAGAGGAAAAATTCAGASASAYA